TATCATAATTCGAATACAAATTCTCACAAGCGGGTTGGTTCTTGTTCAAGCAGTCGGTGAAATCACTCTCGCACGTAACCCCGTTACTCAATGTACAACTCTCGAGCTTGTCGTCGCACGTCCCAGCCGTAACACAATTTGCGTAATTATCGAAAAGATTGTCGCATTGGTCGTCGTCGTCGTTTCGCACGCTAGAATGCACCCTGAAATTGGTCCGCCCCTTGGCTATTCTGCTAACCCCACCGCTGCCTTTGCTGCCTCCGCTGCTACTGCTGCTGCCGCTGCTTTTGCCGCTCGACGTACCGCTGCTGCTGCTGCTACTCCTGCCACCGCTGCTGCTACTGCTGCTGCTGCTACTCCTGCCACCGCTGCTGCTGCTGCTGCTGCTACTCCTGCCACCGCTGCTGCTGCTTCCTTTGAGCACCGCCTGTGTAAGGTGTGTGGGAGAGCAGGGATGCGCGAGCGGAGAGACATGGATTGAAAAGGAGGCAATGCTAATAAGGGGAGAAGAAAAGGAAGCGCCCCCTGCTGCGCCTGCCACCGCTGCTGCTGCTTCCAATCAGCACCGCTTGTAACAGAGGATGTGGAGGAAATCAAAGAGGCAGGTAGGAGACAAGGAATGGAAAGAAAGAATGGAATCGGGCAGATTGGAGAGGGATACAGGCATAAGTAAGGGAAACGCGTCCGCCGCTCTTGCCACCGCTGCTGCCGCTTCCTTTCAGTCGCTTGTGTAGGGTGATGTGTCGGAAAAAATACGCAGGTAGGTAGGAGATATGGGATGAAAGGAGAAGGATACACTAGAGCTGAGGATTCTCAGAAAGATCCTACTGGTTAAAGTCTGAGGGTTGTTACAATTCAATGTATGAGCAAGAATGGCGGCCAACATGAAAAGGTGGACGTCCCTCCTCCCACACTTCAACCCATAGTAGATTTTCTTTTTCACATGTTAACCCGGTTTGGTCATGAAACTCACCCGGCGAAAGCGCGTGTCGTTCCTAGCATCCCAGCCGTCAGAATTCGCGTGTAACGCATGGCCTCTGCACAGTACGCGGGCCTAGAAACGACCTTCCCAACCGCTTTCCACAATACGGCTACCTATGCTAGGTAGCGCGAAATAGGAAGGAAGGGTTGGGAGGGGAAGATTGGGATTGGTCGACACTTCGGGCCAATCAGATTTTAGTTGTACAAATTGAGTTGGCGAAAATTACCAACTCACGCGATGGTTGGGTTTTCGACCAATCAGAACCAGTGAGTTGGTTGGCAGTGCCAACTCAACTCGAATATTCTTATGCTGTACACTAAATGCTAATCTGAATATATTGCTGTAAACCTCTCTTTGGTTGGAAATCCAACCCTTTGCCACATAAGCTAGCTCACCTCCTTGGAGCCATGGAGGAGGTTGAGCAGTTGCTGGGAGTCATTGGAAGGGGTCTGGGCTGAGAAGCTCATTCTCAACTTCCCACTCCAAGAAATCAATCTTGAAATGAGATTTTTCGTCATGAGTTCTCCTCACAAGCTTCCCTACACTAGTGGCTTCTAGTGTGATCTCCTAGGGGAAGCCCTACCCAACCAGAGTCTCAAGCACTTTTCTTCAAACTTAAACTTGAACTACCTCTTAGAGGAGGTTCTTCCTAAATACCACGCTAGGGGATCGTTAGTTGATTTTGCACCCCATTTTATATCCTAGGATCTTGGATGTTGAGTTTGGACTTCAACCCTTGTTGCCCATGATATAAGGGCAAGGGTCATTACATTGGTATCAGAGCTTAGGGTTCGAATCTTGTCTGGACACATTTTCCGCACACGACTGAGGTCGTGGCGAGAAATTGAATGTGCGAAAAATACAGCTGCGGTTGTATCTAGTCGCGAACCCGCGAACCCAGCGAACGATCCTGTCCGTTGGCCTTGTCCACCAACGAAGTCGCTGACTTGGAACACCAGCGAAATGAGAGGTCCTTGCGAGGGCCGACTCCCTGGAAACCAACACGAGGACGTTGGCACCCGGCGAAAGCGCGTGTCGTTCCTAGCATCCCAGCCGTCAGAATTCGCGTCCCCGGCGCCTTCAGCGCGGCTCGAAGCACGTGGCAGATCCCCGCGCCAAGAGACGCCGGATCGCGATACGGCCATCATGTCGACGATGATCGCTGGCTTCGCAATTTGTGAGACGCCGCTTGCTCCACCGCCGCCGTTCCGAGGGCTGCTTGGAGGAGAGCCCTCGCTGCTCAACCTTTCCGCTGGACTCAGCTGACCGGATTGACTGCGTTGACTCGGTCGAATCGGTCTCGGGGGTGTGGCTGCCCCGTCGCGCGTTGTGTTGACCGTCGGAGCAGCTTCTACCGCGTACGTTTCGCCAGCCGCCGCTACAATGAACGGAAGGGTCGCCGCGGAGACGAGCACAAGGCAGATGCGAATGTTACGATATATAGGGATACGGTGAGTGGGTATCGAAGCCATGTTTGGTGGCTCTCTTCGAAGCAGCCTGGCTCTCGTAGTAGTAGTAGTCGCGCAAAAATCGGAGGCGCAGGCCCTCGTTACGACCGAGTCGTAATTCCACGAAAGTCGTAACGCCGCAGCCAAGCAGTTTGTGCAAGTCGACAGGCGTGAAGGCAGCACAGCACAATTTGCTTGCTGGTCGACACGATGGAACGAGTGACCTGGAGTCACCTCGGCGGCTGGATCGGAAACTACAGTCAGAAGGGACCTCAGGTGCCAAATGCCCCAAGCGACATCGGGATTCTGGTGTGGGAGGAGTATCTTTGTCCGTGCGTTGCTATGTGCTAGTGGAACCGTGTCTTTGTGGAGCAAGCTTTGTTCCTGACGGTGCGTAGAAGGCGCCCCCGTTCCACACTCTTGTGAACTTCGGCAGTGATATACCGGTAGCTTGGATAGCTTGGAAATAGCGCGGTTCGAGAGGCGTATGCTGTCCTAGTAAGTGCCAACGTGTGGCTTCGAAAAACGATTATTGGTGGATGGCTGTTGGCCTGGAACTGGGTAAAAATCCTGAGGGCGAGATTTCATGCATTTTGCACTCATCCTCGAAGCGCCTTGCATATACACCTGTTCTTCTATTCAAAATATCTGTTTTCGCAAGTGGATAAATTCTGTAAAAAGGGGAAAACCCACAGTAAATACTGGTACTTAGTTACAAATTCTCGCTCAAGCACTGGATAAGTTGCCAGCGCGACGTCCCAGCTCAGAATCTCCCAGTTGTCGAATTTCGTCTTGGGGTTCGGTATCCTTCAGACTGCAGCCAATCAGGTTAGTGTCAACGCGAGTCATGCTGAGAACCTGGTAGTGTAGGTGGGATTAATTTTTGAGCTGTTTCGGGAAAGGCAATTAAGGATGACAGGTGTGTCAAAAGACTAGCTTAGCTAGGAAGCCATAGAATGGCACAAGGTTTAGCTAGGAGCTAGGAGGAGCCATGAGAATGGCGAGAGGTTTTAGGTGCTAGGAAAGTTGAGGAGAGGAAAAGAGTGTTGGATTAGGAAGAGAGAGGAGTACAAGGAGGGGTTTGTACCCTCTACAGAAAAGGTTCAGTAACAACCTACCAAGCCTATATAAATTATAACTTATATAATTTTAACACACCCCCTAGGCTTGGTAGTCACACACCCACACACACCCACACCCCCTAACCTAGCACCCCCATTCCAGCCACAGTGACAGCGACTCTAGGTCGGTCGACCCCACGGCGCGTGAGGCGGCGACGTCGACCGCAGGGGCTGCGGCGGCGACGGCGGCAGCGGCGGCAGTGTCGACAGCGGCGGCGGCGGCGGCGTGCGGCTGCGTGGCCCCGACGCAAGCGGCGACAGCGGCGGCGGCGGCGGCTTCGACAACAGCGGCAGCGGCGGCGGCACCCGCACCTCTCGGTGACGTGGCCTGGCCCCGCGACTGTGGGACGGCCGGCGGGAGTCAGCCGTCGTCTGCGGAATGGAAGAGGGCGCAGGGGAAGGAGGGGGGGTGGGGGGGGGGGGGCGGCGCCACAGGCTGACATGCGGGCGGCCGGTCTAGCGGCGCCACAAGCGTCACGCGGCCGGCTGCAGCCCGACGACGCCGTCATGGAGCGGCGTCGATGCCGCAGCGGGGCGTCGACGCTGCGACGGCAGCACGACGTCGCTGGTACGCCGACTGCGCGCTGTCGCGTAGACGCCGCGGCAGCGTGACGGCGCCGTCACGTCGCGACAGCAACTTGACGCGACGGCGGAGCTGCGGCACGACGGCGCGGCCACAGCAGCTGGACGCGGACGCCATGGACGTCGACAGCGGCGCCGCGGCACGACGACGCGGCCACAGCAGCTTGACGCGGCCGCCATGGCAGCGCGAGATAGAGAGAGAAACGAGCACGCAGCGGAAACGCGAGGAGCAGGCCCACACGGAACGAACTGCTCTAATACCATGTCAAAAGACTAGCTTAGCTAGGAAGCCATAGAATGGCACAAGGTTTAGCTAGGAGCTAGGAGGAGCCATGAGAATGGCGAGAGGTTTTAGGTGCTAGGAAAGTTGAGGAGAGGAAAAGAGTGTTGGATTAGGAAGAGAGAGGAGTACAAGGAGGGGTTTGTACCCCCTACAGAAAGGTTCAGTAACAACCTACCAAGCCTATATTAAATTATAACTTATATAATTTTAACAAGGTGTGCGAGCCGCGCACATAATTGTGCAAGTCGTGCACATAATTGCGCGAGCCGCGCACATAATTGCGCGAACCATGTCATGTCATCCATCTGCCCCTGGGCTGCTAGCGTGAACTGTGGGGAACAAAAGGCTTAAGAATAGTGAGCGGAGTACATTCAGCTACATGACGTTAGGATAAAAATGATCGTGTGCGGCATAAGCATGTTTCATTTTGCGAAGCCTTTTTTGACGAGGATAGATATTCTCCGAGGACTCGTCCTCTTCTCTTGATCCAATCCGTTTGCCTTCGTTCATTGGCCGAGAAGTTGCCTGTTAAAGTGAACTTATGGTCCGAAATGGAAGCTTCAGCTGACAAACAATCACGAACGCTTGTTTTCTGAACTTCCACAAACGGTCTCCATGTGAACTTTGGCGACTCTGTTGAAGCCAAACATGCCTCGAGAATCCCAGTTACTGTACTAGCCTTTCATCACTAGGAATTTCCCTCAGCTTGTCACAGTCGTTGCGAACTCGTGAAGGCTCCTCCCCCTGATCTATCCCAATCGTTCATCGCATGAGTGAATACGTCGACAGAGAAGGCTGATACAAGCCGTACGATTATACCATACCAGACCCTCCCCTTGTCCCGGCCTCCATATTTCCGCCATCCTGCTGTCTGCCGCCGAGTCAGCACCACAGTGATCCACCCAGTCTTTACTTTAGAAACTACCTCGGATCGACCTCTCGTCATTCTGGTAGCACCGGACCGGAATTTCCTCTCGTGCCACCCTCGATATAGCCCGCCATCATGCTGTCGGGTGCTGAGTCATCAGCGCTCCTGTCCGCGCTGGCAGAAGACAGGTCCTTCAAATCCAACGCAGAGGCGTTTCCCGCGCTTTTCCTCCCACTCGCCGGTTCACCGCCTGCTGCACTCTCGCCATGCTCCTAGAGGTGGGTCTAGAATGGAAGTACACCCAATGTCAGAAGGGTTACATCAGAATAAGTTCGGGTTTTCCAGCCCTTGTTGCCCACCCGCCGTTTCACCGCCTGCTGCACCCTCGGTCCCTCACCATGCTCCTAGAGGTAAGCCCGATCCGCGTGAAAGGTTTGCTCAGTTCGGCTATCCTGGCCCAGGCGTCTCCTCCCGCCGGTTCATCCCTCGCCATGTTCCTAGAGGTGGGTCTGATAGGCGTGGGTAGGCGTGGCGGTATTTTCTAGAGACTCGCGTATGTCCTGCTGTCCTGCTGTCGCTGTCCTGCCCGTTCGAGTCATGCCTGTTTTCTTCCCTCGTTTGCAATTAAATTCGTTTTTAACCCATGCGTGCATGTGACCCGGTTACAAATACAGCTTCCCTGATCCCCCTGAACCATGCATGTGCATGTACAGGACGGGATTGCGTTGAAGGGAACCCAGCACCAAGATTCATAACTAATGTGTTTCTTCAATGCTTCAGAGACGACTTTTGAGGCGCCTCAAAAGTCGAATCATGCGCCATGCCAGTCCATGAAACTCCCTGCTACCACCAGGTGGCTTCAGAGCCCTCCCTGCCTTCCATCGAGCGCTGCTTCGCCCTCAACCTGCTCTCACACTCTCTAGCGGATGTAAGATCACCGATTTTCTGCGGTGAGCCGTGCTCGCACAAGTGCTAGGTGAGACTAGTCAGGATTCGCCTTTGAGACTTGAGTCGAGTCAAGAACAGAATAGTCAAGCCTCAAGGTTCGCCCTCAACCTGCTCTCACACTCTCTAGTGGATGTAACCTTCGAGTCGACTCAAGTAACCTCGTTACAATGTCACAATACTGGAGTCGACTCAAAAGTCACCTCGAATAATCAAGCCTCAAGGGTCGCCCTCAACCTGCTCTCGCAGTCTCTAGTGGATGTAAGATTGTCTGCTGGCAATCAATTACTTTCTCTATGATGACGTGTGCTCTGCTCTCACATTCGTGATTTTTTTGTCGCCTCGTAAGATACCTACTTGCTCACACTTTCGCTGATGGGTGTCTCATGAGTCGTTGTGCGTTGAGGCGCCTCGAAACACTCTCACTCAGCCTCCTCTCCCTTTCTCGTCCCTTTTTCTTTGCATCCCACCACCCACCGGGTGCATCCACCCATCCAATCTCTTCGTCTGATTCACCACTCCTCAAACTGCCTCTCAGGTCCCCGGCAAGTCACCTCGGGAATATGTGCAGCTTTTCAGACCCCCCAACCAGGTGGGTGGGTGTGTGTTTGAGGGGAAGGGGAGGGGGAATGAAGGGGGGGGGGGGAAGTATCTATGCTGCGTGTGTGTGTCTTCGTCAGGTCAGCCCGTCCGCTAATTCTTCTCAGGTTTCCAGCCAAGTCAGCTCGGTACTTGCTGTTCGCGTCGCTGTTTCGCCCGCGCCTGTTCTGTGTGCATTACGGAAATAGATTTTGCAGGGAAAGAGAGGTACGGTGAAAGAGAGGTACAGTGAAAGAGAGGTACAGTAAAAGAGAGGTACAGTAAAAGAGAGGTACAGTAAAAGAGAGGTACAGTGAAAGAGAGGTACAGTGAAGGAGAGGTACAGTGAAAGAGAGGTACAGTGAAAGAGAGGTACAGTGAAATAGAGGTACAGTGAAAGAGAGGTACAGTGAAATAGAGGTACAGTGAAAGAGAGGTACAGTGAAAGTGAGGTACAGTAAAAGAGAGGTACAGTGAAAGAGAGGTACAGTGAAAGAGAGGTACAGTGAAAGAGAGGTACAGTGAAAGAGAGGTACAGTGAATGAGGATCCGTGCAGTAAAGGATGAGGTACAGTGAGGGAGACGCATAGTTAGAAGATGCACATTAAAGGGGACATACAACCAACGTGAGGTGTAGTGAAGGAGAGGTACAGTAAGGGAGACGTACTGTTAAAGGGAAGTACAGAAAAGTGGAGGTATAGTAAATGAGGAGAGGTGCAGTGAAGGAGAGGTACAGTAAATGTGAGGTACGGTAAAGGGAGCGGATGGGCGTCTTGGAGGCACTGGTTCGCACGTCAGCTGATTGGCTGCAACTCGTATGCATTGGCAGGGAATGAAAAGTTGTAGAGACGATGCCACAGCCATGGTTACACAAGTAGCTTAACACGCAGCTGGAGCAGCTCTTGTTCTCGCATCTTCCGTTGCCTGCGCCTAGGAGGCGACGATGGGAGGTGGGGTTGAAGTGACCAGACCAGCTCTACCCTCTCAAGCTGTCCTTTTTCGCTCCCCTCTCCCCTCGCTGGTCTGGTGGACACTTCAACCACATTTTCCGTCGTCACCTTCCAGACGCAGGCCGTGGAAACTGCGAGTACAGAAGCTGCTACAGCTATGTGTTGAGCTGCTTTCTTGCGTAGCAATGGCTGTGGCAACGCCCCTTTTATGGAGAATCCGCTCTCTCCGTTTTGCAACCAAATCAGCTGTCTGCCATTCGAATGTGTTCTCTTCGTTCATCCTCCAACTGATTTGTTTTTTCCCAATAATTTTGCCCTTGGCTCCAGGTCGCCCATTCTCGAATGGGGGTGCTTGAGAGTACTATAGGGGTGTGAGGAGCAATTCTACTGAGGCCATTTGACTCCAGCTGTTTGGTTGCGGCCCCCTTCTTTCCCTAATTTTTGTTACCTTCTTGTTTTGCCATTGGTTCCCTGTCGTTGCAGATGGATAGAATTAGCCCAGACATTCCTGTAGAGCAACCACAGGCAGCAGCAACACACGCGGCACCAACACCACCTGCAGCACTAGCAGCAGCAGCAGCAGCAGTAGCAGCAGCAGGAGCATCTAAACCAGCAGCTGCAGCGCACCCATCAGGTATGGCAGCAGCAGGTGTTACTTCTGACGCCGAAGCCAAACCCAAACCCAAACCCAAACCCAAACCCAAGCCCAAAACCGCCAGGCTGCTACTTCCAAAGGGGAGTTTATGTCCGGGGAGTCCGATGCAGGCATGAGAGGGGGCCGGATGCAAGAGGGTGTTACAGGGGAGTTGGAGGAGGGGAGAGGAGAGGAAAGGGTGGCGAGAGTGAGTGAGGGAGAGGGTGAGAGGAGAGATGGTGGGGGTGGGGAGGTGGGGGGGAATGGAGGAGGAGGGAGAGCAGAAGCAGGAGGGGGAGGGGAGAGTGTGGAGGGCGAAGGGGGGGTAGGGGAAGGAGGAGGGAGTGTGGAGTTTCAGTTGATGCACAAGGCGTTGGAGGGTCCACTCATGCCCGCACAGCAGCAGGTGAGGCTGAGTCAGCAGCAGGTGAGGCTGAGTCAGCAGCAGGTGAGGCTGAGTCAGGAGAATGTGAGGCTGACTTGGCACAGCAGCAGCCTGAGTCAGCACTGTGTCGGAATGAACCGGCAGTAAAAGTGCCTTTTCGCCCTCAACAAAATGCCAACTTTTCTCGCTGTCAACCTTGCAATGGGCATCTCAAGAGATCCGAGCCTTCCTGCCCTCAGCCTTCCCACCCTCCCCTCTCGCCCCTCTATCAGGAGCTCCTCTCTCTTCTCTCCGCCAACCCTTTACTCGTCGCGCATTGTGGTCTACACCCCATCACACTGCCAGTACGTATTTCTTACTACTCTATTTTACTAACTATTGCTGTAGTACGCTCTTTCTTTTTCATTGTACTGGACATGTGCACACAATACCCTTATCATGTTCTATGCATGTGCGCTCACTCATTTCCCACCGTAGTGGATTTTTTAGAATTCTAAAAAATGCATTGCTGCATGGCAACCCTGCGAAATGAGAACACATCACAACCCTGACGTTGCTGCGTGTGCCCTCATTTCCCCCCGTAGTGGCCTCCCCCCCCCCCTCCCCCCCGCCCCATCTCTTCCCATTCTTCTCTTCCACTCTCCCTCCTTATGGAGCACAATGCTTCCCTCTTCTATCACCAGCCCCTGTGGAGCACAATTCTGATCTTGCTAGTTGTGCTCTCACCCTCCTGCACTCCCTATCACTCCCTCCCTTTTCGCTTGTCTCATTCTCTTCCCTAAATTCCATCTCCCCCTAAGCTCTAGTGGAGCACAACCCTGACGTTGCTGCGTGCACTCACACCCCCCCTCATCTCCCTCACCTCACCTCACCCCCCCTCACTCCTTTCATTCCCTTCTCTTCCTTTACCCTGTCTCTCCCCAGCCCCTAGTGGAGCACAATCCTGACGTTGCTGCATGCGACCTCACTTTGTTGCTGGCATCGCAGCCAGCTTTTGAGTAAGCACAGCAGGAGGCCTAGCAAGCAGGGCATGGGGGCCAGGGTAAGCAAGGTTATGGCGGGCACTTTTCTATCTCAGATATACCAAAGGTTACGTGTGTCACTTGTGTTTGGCATTGGGTTGTAGGCGGTTCTTGAGATGCCTAAAAAATCGTCGCATGGCGTGCGGCTTTAATTTATTTCGAGGAGCCTCAAAACGTGTGTTTGGCATTGGGTCGTAGCGAGAAAGAGAAAGAGCAAGTCTCAGCTCCCACCTGCCCATCACTTGATGTGAGCGTATGAAAGCCTTCTTTCCCACCCTTCTTTCCCACCCTTCCGCAACCCAGGTATCTGGAAATTCTGTCTCAGCTGCCCCTCACCCTTCACTCCCTGGAGGTGGTCAGCCAGGTGGCGAAGGGTATTAACTTGCCACTCCCCTCCGTTTGAAGACATGTAAAACACCTCTCCCTCACCCCAGGTACTTGGAGGTTCTGTCTCAGCTGCCACTGACTCTTCACTCCCTGGAGGTGGTCAGCCGGGTGGCAAAGGCCGTTGACTTGTTGCCCGATTTCATCCACTCGTACGCGAGCCACTGCATGCGGTGCTGCGAGGAGACCGAGGTGGGTTACTGATCGAAATGAGAAAATATGTCATGCGTTGAGACCAGATTGAGTGGGAGTGGGAGTGTCGGCTCAAAAGCCACCTTTTCTTGTCAGCTAATGCACACGGTTCTGTGGAGAGAAAACAAGGTGGCTTTGAAACATTGCTAAAACATCACTGATGTATCGTGAAACAGGTTGCCATTTAAACGAGGTGACTTTTGAGTTGACTCAATATTCACCTCGATACTGTATCGTGTAACAGGTTGCCATTTTGTACCCACTAGTAAAGTTGTGTGCTTCGTCGCTGACTCAACTCTGAAATTGTGTGTTGCTTGTAAGCCTATTCCCCTGTCCTGTTTTTAGTGAGCTGATCAGGTGCGCGCATGCTTTATGCCCCTAAACCCAACCCACATGTGCAGGATAAGAGCATGCAGAACCGCCTTGTGCGGATCGTGTGCATCTTCTTACTCAGCCTTATCCGCGATAACATCATCAATGGTACACCTCAAACTTACTTGATTTCTATGAAGAGCACCACATTTTGATACTGCCATGATGTCGTAGAGTCGTAGACCCTCTTTTGCTGGCGACGCCTAGTTGCATACGGTATGAAGAATCGTCCTCCTCTGCATGGTGCTTGAACACCTGATCTCAGCAACCCCTTCCTCCTCCCCTCTCCCCCCCCCCCCCGTTCCGGCTCCTCTCTCTCCCCCCCGGTTCCGGCTCCTCTCTTCCCCCTCCGTCCTTCCCCACGAGGCAGTGGAGACGCTTTTCATTGAAATGCAAGCATTCTGTATCGAGTATTCACGAGTCAGGGAAGCAGCAGCCCTGTTTCGCATGCTCAAATCCCTGGAATAGAACTGGAGTCCCTTGCGTTGTATGTACTTGGTGGCTGGAGGAACTGTCGGCCCGGAGGGTCCAGTAACCAGTTAAAGCCCGGGCTCATGCCCTCACGCCTCTTGATTTATTCGATGTTTTGCCAACTATCCAGTTTGGTTCTCAGTGGCGAGGTGGACCGTTCATGGTCCCCAAATGGTTGTTCTTCATACATCGGCCTTTTTGTGGTAGAAGCGTCATTTAGGGCGAGTGCTCTACAGCCTTCTTGTTTATTGAAAACCGTGAACGTTCTAGAGATGCGTGAGTCGGACACAGATAGGTAGGAACCACTGCAAGGTACGCTGGAAGGAGGGAAAGCCACCTTACATTAATATTTTTCCAAGTTCTGTACACAGAAGAAAGCATACCGGAACTGGATAAGGCCCAGCATGTAGGCAGTGACCCTAAACCCTAAATCTACAGCATAAACTGGCAGGCAGTCTCATCTCTTCAGAGGTTGAACAGAATGTAGTACGCGTGCTGTGGTGAGGACCGTAACAGTAGCAGTACAGCCTGTAGTGTACTCTACTTCGGCATTTTGGTCCCATTGGGAATGAGCACTTTATCCACGCCGTGTGCGATGAAGTAAGGGCCGGCATACAACCTCACGATCTTGATCGTCGTCCACGTGGCAGCAGGCGCGTTTGGCCCCTTGGCAAACGACACTGTATTGCCGTTTTGGGGCGAAACCTTGTAAAGGGCCTGCTTCAATTGAGTACCAACGGGCTGAGACTTCTTGAGCGATTTTAACTGAGGAACGGTGAATTTCCCCCGGATGATGTGGTACGCGGTAATATTGTAAATTGTGGGGATGTTGCTGCTCTTAGCGGGGAGCTTCTTAGCGAGGGCTTCGGCCTCTGTGTTGCTGGGGAGGAGGATGGTCGCGTCCGAGAGGGCTGAGAAGTCGTACTTGGAGTTCAACGCGAGGCCGATGTACTTGTTGACATCCTTCGCGTATTTCGCATATTCCGGGTAACGCTTCGTGATGTTCGTCGCCATGTTGTTCAGCTCCGCCTTCAGCTGCGCCTTGGTGGGCTTCGGCTTCGCTTGTGCGTTTGCTCCAGCTATGCAAAGGGCGATGCAGATGAATCCGAGGAAGAGCAGGGCTCGGGAACTCGCCATCTCAAGATGAGGAATCGACGCACAAAACTCTTGGGTCTCAAAGAATTTGGGAAAATGCGGGTCAAGTAGTCGTAAGGGGTCTAGGAAGCCGCGAGGGAAGTTATGAGCGGCGAATGAGTAGCACAGAATTTGACTTGAGAAGTGCGAGGAAAATGGTTGTGATGAGAAAGATACGCAGGAGTGGAATTTATGGCAGTGTGGATGGGAGGGGTGTGATGAAAATTGCGACAGAAGTTTTCGCGAGCTCATTACGCGGTTGAAAATCTTCGCCAGGGGCAAACGCGGTGCGGCGAACCACGGAGTATTTGGTGGAGGGGGATAGGGAGACCTAGGTAACTGCGGGTACCTGGAGCGATGTGAGCCGACAAAACGGCGCAGCACAGGAGGTGACGAAGGTCTGGCGAAGGCGAGGATCTTCGCTGCGGTTGAATGGCGGCAGTTCTTGGCGGTCGCGGCGCGAACGAAAGTCGCAGGGAAGCTGCTCGAGAACGAGTGCGACTTGTGCTGCTGTTACGATACGACTACGCGATGGTACGCCACTTTCGCATCTCGTTATGAATTAATCAGAGTAATAACAGGTAATGTAATAGAGGAGTCGTGATTCAAGAGTGTCAATACAAATGAGGGCCTAGGCATTTATAGGCACAAACAGAGCTAGCCCAGAACCACGTGAACAGGTTGGGGCTGTCCGGTTGGCGAAAGCCACGGAAGCACTGCGCGTCGAGATTTGGGTTCGTGAAATGGTTCGGGACCGAAGAAGTTGGCCGAGCATGAACTTCCGAGCGTCGAAGGCGTACGCGCAGTAGTCGAGCCCAGTAAGGAAAAGGGAATTTCCTTACACCACCCCCCCTTCCGGGATGAGACTACCCACATCTGGAACACGTCGTCGGTGTAAGTAGTCCCGGACGACTTTGTGTTCGCCGAGCATTGCTGCGGGGACCCAAAGATCGTCGTCAGTCGTGCGATCGACCCATCGTACAAGGAAATCAACGGCTGCTGTAGGTCGCTGGCCTCGTACGCGATGAGCGAGAATCTTTGATGGCTCGATCGTTGGCTCGGGTACTAGGTTGACCATAGGATTGATGTGTTGACGGTCGAGATTAGTCGTACTGGGGACGAACGGTCGCATGAGACTGACGTGGAAGGAATCATGAATTGGTCATGCTCGTCGGTGTCGTCGGTCAGCTTTCAGCTTAGCCCTCTGGTTGGCTTTGAGGATGGCATCGGCGGCTTTTTGCTGAGACTGTCGGAGATTTTCTACGATTAGCTGAGACCTTGGTGCCGAATTTTCTATCGGGGGCGATAGAGGGGTTGTCGGATCTATCCCATAATTAAGGAAGAACGGGACTGAGTAGTCGTGGCCGATGGGGCGTTGTTGTACGCAAACTTTATCAAGGGAAGGGCGTCTTCCCATTGGGCCGGGTCTGTGCACGTCATGGGAATCAGTTGCTCCATCGTCTGATTGGTGCGCTCAGTCTGGCCGTCTCATTGCGGGTGGTATGCCACGGACAGATGCACACGTGTGCCGTTCTGCTGCCAGGTTTTTGTCCAGAAATTGGGTGTGAACAGTGGGTCCCGATCGCTGATGATTGCCAAAGGGATGTCGTGTAGCCGCATGATGTTCTTCAGGAACAATTTCGCTTACTGCTCTGCAGTAATCGTCGTCTTGCAGGCGGCGAAGTGGGCCATCTTGGTCAACCGGTCAACGGCGACGAGAATCGCGTCGTTACCGCTTGGACCAGCTGGCAGGCCAGTGACGAAATCCATCGTCACTTGTTGCCAGGGTCGGCTCGGTGGCTCTAGTGGCTGCAACAATCCAGCAGGTCGAAGCCGGGAAGACTTTATGCGTTGACACGTGGCACAGGAGGTGACGTATAGCTGCACGTCTGTCGGCAAATCGGGCCAGTAATAATTACGGCTCAGTAATTTGGCAGTATTGTCGATGCCGTAGTGACCCGAGAAATTTGAGTCATGTGCCTCCTGGATCGGTGATTCCCGTAGGGTACGGTAGGCGGGAACCAAAATCCGATTGGTACCAGATTTTAGGTAATAGGCCTCTTGCTTGTCCGTCAGATGGGGATGACTGTTAGTGGTGAAGAATGGATCAGTACTGTCTCCGTGGGTGAATAGGCCAGTTAGCAGCGGATTCGCTTGGGTAATTAGGACGGCAACGGTGTGGACTTAAGGGCGCGTCAGTGCGTCAGCGATGTTGCTAACCCCTCGTTTGTAGTTGACTCTGTAGTGGAAGTTGGACTCGATGTAGTCAAGCCAGCGAATCTATAGGGAATTCAGTGTCGGTTGGGCGCGGATGAACTGTACCAATTTGTGGTCTGTTCGAACTATTACGTCAGCGCCCGTCAGATAGCAGCGCTAGACTTTGAAGGCGTAAACGATGGCGAGTAACTCCTTGTCGTGGACAGGATAATTTTCCTCGGCCGGGTTCAGCTTTCGTGACTCGTAGGCGATGGGTTGGAGGCCTTCGCCGAAGTCTTGTAACAGGACTGTGCCAACGGCCAGTTCGCTAGCGTCAGTGATGAGCACAAATGGACGGTGAGGATGTGCAATCCGAAAAACCGGAGGTGAAGTCAGGAAAAGTTTGAGCTGTTCGAACGCAGCCTGCTGCTCTCCCCCCCACTCATAAAACTTACCCTTCTTCAGAAGATCTGTGAGAGGGGAAGCTACCCCCGCCTTGTTCGGAATGAAACGGCTGACGTAATTCACAAAACCCAGGAAACTTTGAAGTTCGCGGAGATTAGCCGGCGGCTTCCAGGCTTGGATTATCGCAATCTTCTTAGGGTCAATTTTAACACCGTCGATGGAAATGACGTGGCCCAAATACTCCAGTTCCTGTTTGAGAAACTCGTGCTTAGAGCCTTTGGTGATGAGTCGGTGCTGCTGCAAGAGAGAGAAAACTGCTGTCAAATCCTTCAAATGCTGCTCCCGGGTAGTGCTATAGACCAGTATGCCGTTGAGGTACACGATGACGCACTTATCCAGCAGCGGCCGAAAAACCTCGTTCATGGTTAACTGGAATGTCGAAGGCGAGTTTGTTAAGTCAAAAGGCATAACCGTATACTCGTAACTCCCCTACCGGGTCTGAAATGCCGTCTTGTAGTAGTCAGCTCCGTTCACGCAGATTTGGTGGTAACTGCCTCGCAAGTCAATTTTCGAGAAGAATTTTGGTCGGCAAAGTTGGTCGATGAGTTCGTCGGCACGCGGGATAGGATAACGAGACTTGATGGTAACCCGGTTCAAGGCGCGGTAATTAACACACATTCATAGACCACCATCTTTCTTCAAGGTGAATAGGATCGGATATGCAAACGGGGAAGTGTTGGGGCGAACGAAACCTTTCTCGAGCAGGTAGTCCAGCTGGCGTCGAAGTTCATCCAGCTGGGGCTGAGTCAGCCGCCATTGAGTCCGAACAGTAGGCTGCGCGCTGGGCTCCAGCTCGATTGTGTGGTCATGTTCCCGTTCAGATGGCAAATCCACCGGTAGGTCGTCTAGAAAAATGTCTGCGTGTTGTTGAATTACCCTCGCCAAGTCGTCTGGTACAGCTGCGCAGAGTTTGTCGATGTCAGTCGGCGTGTCGACAACCATTGATGCGATCCATCGTCACCGGGCTGACCATCGATGTGGTCGAATCTTGATAGCTCCACTTAGGTAGTCGTCGCCACTCGCCACTCCATTTGATGTGACAATCGCCTGTCCGCCAGTCGATGCTCGGGTTGTATTCGCGCAGCCAATCGCGTCCAAGCAGCATGTCGCATCCGTCCAAAGTTGTCGCCAGCATCTTCGTCTTGAAACTGAGATTTTCACCACATGTCATTCGCACGTAAGGAACCTGCTCCTGAATGGCAAGGGGTGTGCCGTCAACCAATCTCGCGTCGATTCCAGGCATGCAGCGCTCCAGCTGCAATCGCAATTTTTTCGCATTCGTCACGTCCATCAAACTGTGGCTCGCCCCGCCATCAACGAATATTTTGGTACGGGTGTCGCCAACTCTTGCTTCAACCAGCACAGGGCGATCAACCGGTTCACCCCCCTTATTCATCCAGGAATGGTCGATAGCCCAAATCGGCATTATAACCTGGTGGGGGTGGTGGCCTTTGGGCGACGCAGTCAAGTCAGTAGGTGGCCCATCTGCTACTGACGATCTCCATTTCCCGCCTGCTTCGTATCGTTAGCTAAGTTCTTATTCAGCTGCGGGCAGTCCCTCACCATGTGATTCGGCTGGTTGCAGTGGAAGCAGCTTCCCGAAAATACTCGAGTTGCAAACACGTCCATGCCGTTGATTGATGTGTGTTGGGGCTGGCCTCGAAAGCGATTTCCTTCTCGGAAACCCGCGAGTCCATGTCGTGCGTCCAGCGCATCTGCAATGCGAACGATATCGTTGAATGTCGCCGCAGCTTGCAGAACAATCTCTTGCTGAATCTCCGGCTTGAGACCACCCACATAGCGATCGATGCGCTCGTCTTCACTAAGCCCTTCGATTTGGTCGCAGATTGCCAGAAACGACGCCGTGTATTCTTGGACAGAGCCCAGCTGTCTCCACATCCGAAGCTTTGTGCGAGCATTTTCGCGCATGGATATGTGCTCGAATCTGCCCTTCAATGCTTCGCCCCACGCTTTCCATGTGCGGATCGTGGCCGACCAAAAGATTGGTTCTGTCTTCGCCGTTGATGAACTCAGCTCTGTTGGTGCAACCCTATGGTTTGCACTCTGCTTGTCGTCCTTGTTCGTGTGTGTGCATGCATGGCATGGAATGACTTGTGAGTCTATGCCATTGATATATAGTGCTTGTGTGTGTGCTTGAATGGTTTATCACAATGTGGTTTGTGTCAGTCAAGACATTTGTTAGTTTTCACAACTCGCATGTCAAGTCGTCGTTTGCGCGCGTCGCATGTGTTTTTCTATTTTGTCGAGTGTGAAGTGTCCATTGCATCGCAGGTGAGTGCAGCAAGTCTCCATCAACTCAAGAATAATTTGTCTTGCAGAACCAAGACCAAGAGCTCAAGATTTCAAGCCCAAGGGACGAGGATAAATATTTAAATAGTGAAAATAGTAACGCTACTTCGTGTAGTGCTACATTTTATTTGGTGTAGCCCCTTGGAGGGTTTGTTTCGAGACTCTTCGTGGCTGGGGACTCAGTAGTGGTATACCACCAACCTGGACCTTAGCTCTTGGGATATGTAGAGGCTGGGAACCATCTCAATCTCGATTCTTCTTGCTAAGTTTGTACTTCTAAGACTTTAGTGGCTGCTCTACCTCTTGCAAGTCAAACCGCCATAGCATCTTCAAATCTTGATGGAACTTCATGATTCAAATTGCTGCAAGTAGGCGACAGCAAGGTGCTATAGATCCAATTTACAAATCCTTGTTTGAGTCACATATCAGATCGCTACCAATATTTGAAGGTGTCTGACGGAAATCCGTCTATGCACTCTCTCTAATTTTAGGCACATCTGAGCATGTTGTGATTATAACAAGCTCCCCATCTACCGCCCGTAGATTCCCTGCTGGGGCTCCTCCCTCGTCAAGATGCATGCGCCATCAGTCAAGTGCCAGTCCCCTCAGCAGCGATACAGCCAAGTTGACACGTGATGCGTTGTCATTAATACTTCCTGCCGTGAAGAAGATTTCCATGGAGAACAGCCACCCGCTCATTGTAGTTGTCCTGTCGGTCGGGTTGAACGGTGGTGGCATCAGATGTTTGTTTTTTAGGGCCGCCCACTGTTCAATGTGGACTTCTTCAACTGCTTCAGGTGTCGCCAACGCCCTCGCTTCGCTTGCAGCATCTTCGTCTCGGGTAACAGGCCGCCCCTGAAGCGTTTCACCCGCGTCTGGTGAAGCGACGAGTTTTCGTTGCACAGCGTCTGCAATTCGCTTCCTAGCGACTCGAACTTATCGGCGATTTGTTGAAGCTGGGCTTGCAGTATCGTCACTGTAGCCGCCCTGGCTTGCAGCTCGTCAAACTCCTCCTGAGTTACGTTCCTAGCACTACAACAGGCAGAGGTTTCCGGCGTGGTAGTTGTTGTGATAAAATCGTACTTGCATTTCTGTAAGTGGTTCCGATAGATATTATCGAGTTACACTGTAGTTAGCATCCGTAGAATGACGTCACCAAATAGCGCTCGTCTGGATGGTTACGTTGGCAGGCCGTTTCATTCATGGGAATAGTCGCGCTCCTTTCAGTGGCGACTAGAGCGCATAGCGCAAATAATTCTTAATAGGTACATTACCGAACAGGTACTCCTAGCAGATATAAGAGTAGCTTTTATGCCTTCAATTATTAATTTGTTCTTGAGTAAATTCTGGTCAACACTTACGAGTTCTAAGACTTCCGCTGTCTTTCTAGTCTACCATTCCAGCAAAGATCCTTGTTTAAGTCTTGAAGTATCACAAGGCTGTAACACTGATTCTGGTGTTACGACTTGTTAATACTGGCTGTTACTAGAGGTACTTCCAGTATTACTTTCTACTTCAAGTACTTGTGTCTACAGATTCTATACGTCTCCTGCACCACCTTTCAATTTCTTTCATGGTATGAGAGCTGTCTGGAATTAAGACTACCGTCATTCTACAAATGACTGGACCATCATCAGCTTCAACACCTGGTTCTTCAACAACTGGACCCGCGGGTATTACAAATCCTACAGTCTTCACCGACCAAGCAGGTGACTCTGCAGCTGGAAATTTTCCACCTGCTTATTCTTCAATTGGGATGCCTCAACAGCAGCAAGGTTTTTCTACTGTGCATCTACCGAGGACTTCGTCCTTTGCACCTGCAACAGAACAACAACAAGCAGCAGCATCAGTAACAGTGGCCTTCAGTGGAATAAGCATTGATGGTTCCAGTTATGCAAGAGCTGCAGCTGCTCCAAGTTCCAGTTCTTCGTTTGCGTTTACACGTGCTCAACAACAGTAGTTCCAATTTCTTCAGCAACAGCAACAAGCACAACACCAGTTTCAGCAACAACAGCAACATCCTCAGCAACAACAGCAACAACAGTTTCTGCAACAGCAAAGTTCTTTTGGACATGTCTTTCAGGCTCCAAATCTTTTAAGCAATACCCAAATCAAGACAACAATACATTTTAATGGCGCTGACTTCTACTCTTGGAGTTTCGAGTTTGAGCTCCTCGCGAAATCCGCTGGATTATGGCTGTTCTTCAGTGGCGATTTCTCGTATCCTGTTACGGGAACACAGATGGAGCAGCAAAGTTTTCTTCATGCTTCACTCAGCACTTATACAGTTCTTATACGCAATTTGTCGCTGAAAGAGTAGCTCGGTATACGCTTCCTTCACACCAGCTTGACTCCAGCCGAATCTGCATGGAAGCATTTGAAGGGGTTGTATCTGGCACAAGACACCATTTCCATAAGTTAGATTCTCTCACAACTGGCAACTATACAGATGCAGGGAAATGAGAACGTTTCGGATTATTTCAACAGGGCTCGCACACTTCGCGACCAACTTGAAAAATATGGCGGATACTTCCCAAAGGACATGTTTGTAACGGTTCTTCTTGCCGATCTTGGAGCAGAATGACGGCAGTGTCGATCACTTCTCCGCATTCAACCAAATCTTTCTAAAGCCGAAATTTGTTCGATTCATCAAGCAGAGCAGCAGGATCTTGACATGCAAACAGCACGAAACAGAAAGGGAACATTTAACGTTAGTTTCTATTCAACACCTGCAAAACGCAACACCAAGTTCTTCTATCACTACTGCAAAAAGGATGGATACAGCATCAAATATTGCAACAAGCTTCAAGCTGATAAAAAACGAGGAGCACAGCAGCAGTCGCAGTAGTCCAAACAACCCATGAAACAGAATCCACCGACAACAACTCCTGCCACATCCAGGAAACAAGTCTTCAGTTGTGTTACTACAGTACATACAACGGATTCAGTTTTTGAAAATGAGGACGAAGAAAGTTTTATTGAACAACCTGAGAACATGATCTTACCTCAGGTTTATGCTAGTCTCGCTCGAGTTATTGCAAGACCCAACACTTGGTATCTCGACAGTTGTTGTGGTCAACATATGTGCTCTGCCAAGACGCTCTTCATCACTCATCAGCGTCCTCTTCGACGTCCAGTACTTGTCACAGTTGCAAACGGGCAAACGATCATGGCAAGATCCATCGGCAGCGTCATGCTGGATTCTGTTGACACCGGTTTTTCCTTACACGTTACGAACGTCCTCATCATCGATGGACTCAGTTTTAATCTTCTTTCAACAGCTCAACTCCTGCAACATAAAATCAGGACACAAGGCAACTGTGAGACTATGGATCAGGAACTTTATCACAACGATACCAATACTTACATCGGGAGAGCTACCACTCAGTATGGCATCTCCGTTCTTCGATTCAAATCGCAAGGCACTTCTGAAGATTCTGACAGAGTGTTATCTCTTGGGCATTGACAACATCCTAAAGAAACTGATTATCAAAAAGTCGAAATAGACTTCCGTTCAATAGCGGTTCCAACAGGATCTCGTACAGCTGCTGCAGTTATAACGACTCTTGATTCCTGGCCAACAAACACAGCTGAAGAAGATACATCAGCGTGGCGGAATTACTATGACACTTTAACACAACTCAACAACAAACCTGAAGTACCTTGGGGACCCAGCAGCAACAGCAGTGAAGCAGAGGAAGCCGCGCAGCAAAATAGCAGTGAAGCAGAAACAGGGGTTCTCATCGGTCAACCTCCAGCAGACACAACAGAAATAGAAATCGAAGAAGGAGGGTTAGTTCTGCAACCAGAAGAAGTTCTCGATGTGGAAGTTAAAACCACTAAGCTACCTCTTACCCTATTCGTTCTTGGATTACTCGACGAATCACCAACGATTTCTCCTTTCGTCATTGCTTTGTTTCATACGTGACGAATCACTAACGCCAATATTTATTTGCGATCAATAGGACACAAAGCAACAGAGGATATATGGCATCAATGGTTCGGTCATCCGTCTCCAGGCATTCTTAATCATTCTATACGAGGATCATTGCTTGACAAAAACAGCTTGCTGTTACCTGATGGAATAGAGATGAAGCCGTCTTCACGGCTGGCAGCCTGCAAAACGTGCACAAGTGCTAATCTGCCTCACGAACCATTTCCCAGTCATTTTCCAGGATCGACTCGTTACACACTTATGCAGGAAGTC